GGGTGAGCACGTTAATAATACGACATGCAACATAAATAAATAAAATAAATTAATGAAATCTATAATATATATATATATATAATTTTATTAAATTATTTATTGAGTTTTATAAATTTTAAAACATGTTTTTAATTACAGATATTACTTTTGCTACGTCTCTTTTAAATGCAGTTATTCGAGAGAAACACGAAAGAAACATTGCAACACAAAATGAAAATGACAAAGTGCTACAAATAGCACCACGAAATGAAAACGAAATAAATCAAATCTTAACACAAGATGAAAATGATAAAATGTCTCAATTTGCACAAAATCAAAATACAGTGCATCAAGATTCAATTAATGATTTGCATTCAGATAGTGAAGAAGGTAAATTAAAAATTATAGTTGAATTAAATTTTTTTCTTATTTATATTTGATATTGTTTGTAAGCTCTTAAAAGATTCCAATCATTGTAAACATGCATTTAACAAATTATAAATTAAACACTTTTACAAAGTTTTGCAGACCAAATTAATTGTATATTTTTAAAACTTTAAATTTGTAATTTTAATCTTAAAGACAACAAGAAATATTGATTTCTTTAAAGTATCAATCTGATAATCAGATAATCTAATCTATATGTAATGTCTGTTGNATTAAGTATATGTATTTATACAGGTTCTCTCTATCGATGGTCAGATCCAACTGTTGTTCTTTTGTTGAGAACATATGAAGAAATGGAACCAAACTTTACTAGTGGAAAAATGTCGCAAAAAAAGTGTTGGGAACTAGTTGCTAAATCATTAAAAGATCAAGGATACAATGTAACTGGTTCTNAATGTGCTTCTAAACTAAGAAGCTTGAAAAAAACTTATAAGTCAATAAAAGACCACAATTCTAAATCTGGACATGATAGAAGAACTTGGCAACATTTTGAGGTTTGGAATAATGTTAATAAAACACTTTTTTAGGCTATAATTATGTTATTTTAGTTAAGTAGAAAATTAAGTATTTTGCAATATTTTTAATTAAATACATATAATATTTCTTTATATATATAGATTATGGAAGAAATATTTTCAAAAAAAGCATGGTGTAATCCTGTAGCAGTTGCTTCATCTACTGGATTATTAATGAAGAATACAATTTCGTATTCAGATGCCTCATGTAGTCATGATGGTTCTGTTGATGACGGAGAAAATAAAGAAAATACAGTATCCGAAAACAGTATGTATCCTCTATCTTTTTACATATATGACTAACTTATTAATAAAAGTATTGTTTAAAAAAAATAATTATATTTGCAATAATGCATTTCTTTAATTTTAAATTATAAATACAATAATTTAATATTTATAGGTTTTTCGGATATGAAAACGACACGAATGTCCATGACAAGGCTTCTACAAAAAAGATTAGCACAAAAAGAATTGCACGAACAGAAAAAACAGAAACGTCATGATGAGAGAATGCTTATGGAAGAAAAACTAATAAATACACTTTGTCAATTTTTGAATAAGTAAAGTTTACTTGAAGTTAGTAAGTAACTTACTTAAAGTAAGTAAGTTTATTTATTTTTGTGATAAAGTTATCAATTTATTAGTTTATTTTGTGATAAAGTTATCAGTTTGCCAAAGAGTCCTCAGTATACAATACAAGTTATATAAAAAAAAATCGTATTGTGTACCATAAAGTTAAATATATTAGTTACAAAATCAAAGTAATACATAAGTAATACATTTGTTTAGTTATTTATGCAAGATATGTTAGATAGATTGTGATATGCAAGATATGTTAGATAGATTGTGATATGTTCTCGCAATATTTTTAGTTTTTATAGAATTAGACTGATAAAGAGAAGTGTGACTGGTCAATGATAAATTAGTCAACATGTTATTTTTGTTCAAAATATTATTTTATTTAATATATGTACTTACTCATATAAATTTTAATATAAAGACAAGAAATATGTAGTATTTCACAGTTAAATATGTAGTATTACACAGTTATTACTTACAATATTAATAACTATTTATATACATTGTAAACGTATTTTTAATTAAATTGTCTTTGTAATCTTTCCATAATCATATTTCTTTTATAAATACCACTTGCATTACCTGCTTGCCTTGCATTATTAAAATGATCTTCCATAACTTCTGTAGCATTTTCTATTGTTATTATTGCAAGTTCATCTCTGCGTAAAATGCAAATGTTATGAATAACACAACAGGCTACTATATATTCAGCCATTAGATCAACTCTAAACATGGGCAAACAATGCATTAAGCTTCTCATTCGACCTTTTAACAATCCGACACATCTTTCAACTACTACTCTCGCAGATGATAGACGGAAGTTATAGTGTTTCTGTGCAACAGTCAAATGTCCATTATCTTTAAATGGCACTAAGAGATGTTGATGTAATTCATACGCAGAATCTCCTACTAAATNACACGAATGTCCATGACAAGGCTTCTACAAAAAAGATTAGCACAAAAAGAATTGCACGAACAGAAAAAACAGAAACGTCATGATGAGAGAATGCTTATGGAAGAAAAACTAATAAATACACTTTGTCAATTTTTGAATAAGTAAAGTTTACTTGAAGTTAGTAAGTAACTTACTTAAAGTAAGTAAGTTTATTTATTTTTGTGATAAAGTTATCAATTTATTAGTTTATTTTGTGATAAAGTTATCAGTTTGCCAAAGAGTCCTCAGTATACAATACAAGTTATATAAAAAAAAATCGTATTGTGTACCATAAAGTTAAATATATTAGTTACAAAATCAAAGTAATACATAAGTAATACATTTGTTTAGTTATTTATGCAAGATATGTTAGATAGATTGTGATATGCAAGATATGTTAGATAGATTGTGATATGTTCTCGCAATATTTTTAGTTTTTATAGAATTAGACTGATAAAGAGAAGTGTGACTGGTCAATGATAAATTAGTCAACATGTTATTTTTGTTCAAAATATTATTTTATTTAATATATGTACTTACTCATATAAATTTTAATATAAAGACAAGAAATATGTAGTATTTCACAGTTAAATATGTAGTATTACACAGTTATTACTTACAATATTAATAACTATTTATATACATTGTAAACGTATTTTTAATTAAATTGTCTTTGTAATCTTTCCATAATCATATTTCTTTTATAAATACCACTTGCATTACCTGCTTGCCTTGCATTATTAAAATGATCTTCCATAACTTCTGTAGCATTTTCTATTGTTATTATTGCAAGTTCATCTCTGCGTAAAATGCAAATGTTATGAATAACACAACAGGCTACTATATATTCAGCCATTAGATCAACTCTAAACATGGGCAAACAATGCATTAAGCTTCTCATTCGACCTTTTAACAATCCGACACATCTTTCAACTACTACTCTCGCAGATGATAGACGGAAGTTATAGTGTTTCTGTGCAACAGTCAAATGTCCATTATCTTTAAATGGCACTAAGAGATGTTGATGTAATTCATACGCAGAATCTCCTACTAAATNACTGTCAAAAGGAAATTTTTCTTCGTTATTTAAGTATGCAGCTATTTCCGACCGCCTCAAAACTCTTTGATCATGAACTGATCCTGGGTGGCCCACATAACAATGAGTAATTAGTGCTCTATGATCACACACTATCTATAATAAAAAAAAATTATTATAAAGAAAAACAAATAAAAATAATATAATGACTAAAATTGTTATTAGATAGTTTACTTGAAGGTGAATAGAATGATATCCCTTTCGATTTATGTAGTCTACTGCATTCTCTTTTGGTGCTTCAATTTTAATGTGTGTGCCATCTATAGCTCCAATCGTTTTTGGAAATCCACTGGCTTCTTCAAATTTGCGCATTACAAGTTCTGCTTTATCACCTGAAGGCCAAGAAATATATTGAGAGGCTAGTTTAAATAGCACATATGTAACTCTTCTAACTGCTCTNAATGCTGTAGCCCTTCCTACATTGAAACGATCACAAATGGATCTGCAAATAAAAATAATTNTCAAGTGTACAGTACAAGAATGAAAAATATTGCAGTGCTGATTGTAAGAATTANATTANATTATATTTAAAAATTATTTATTGTATTACATTAATCATACCTATAAGAATCCATTGTAGCCATTTTCCATACAGCAATCATAAATTGTTCGCGAGGTGGAATTGTTTTACAACCTGCTGTTTTTCTAATAAGATCAGCACTGATTAAGGTTAAAATAAATTCAAATGTTGTCCGTTCCATCCTGAAAATAAATTTAATAAATCCGTTTAAGATTATCGTGCTTTTTCAAGTANTTACTATTTCATATTAAACAAATAATAGTATGAAAACTTTAAATTCAAATTTATACAAACTTATTAATCTGATAATTAACCTAAAATGACTTTTAAACTCATCATTGATATATCGCGCAACAACAGATTGCGCGTAATCTTTTATTCGTGGACGGAGAATACGTTTTTTTCTCTTTTCTTTTATTAGCCACTCATCATCCGAACTTGAATCGGAACTCTTCGAAGAATAATTTATAAATAGTTGCACGGTACTAGCCATTACAATTTTTGCCTCCGCCATGTTTACGATTACGATGCTATTGCTTATTAACTTGTTCCACTTGTCATCTCGCTGACACAAATGGAACGAGTAATTACAACGTACGGGCGTGAGCGTTGCGAACGGCAAGTGGAACGTACCCTAGGTAGGTTCTGTCGAAGCGGTGGGGATATGCCCACAAGCGAGAACGTGTCCGTGAGCTTACACGGTTCTCGCTTGTGAGCATATCCCCACCGCTTCGACAGAACCTACCTAGTAGAAGAGATTGGGTGGAGCGGACGGACGATTCCCCTTGCCCCTCGCGTCTGTTAGCTTGTGGGTAGAGCGAATTCTTGTGAATTGTTAATAGTATGTCTGCGCTCTTTCAGGAGCCGAACAGCCGTGCGTGACGCACGCACACGGACGGCGGTTCTCGCTTGTGTGCGTGCCCCCACCACCTTAGTGCTCTTGGTGCTAGCCTGCCAGAACTTTCATTACTGGCTCGGACAAGTTGTGTTATGATTCGTACTGCCACTTTTGTATACAAAGTGAAAATGTTGGCTATATATGTGATAATAATCCATAAACTTTTGGTTGCTTTTCTTGTTGATTTTTGTCTCGGCCATATTTTATCATATTCTCTTGTATTTTGAGAAGCATTTTCCATTCCGATCATTGGATGCAGAGTAAGTTGTGCAATAAAAAGCGCCGGTAAAACAAGAAGGTTCAGCATTCTCTTAAGAGAAGAAGTATCGATTCTGAAGTGGTAAAAAACGAAAATCTCTGAAAAAAGTGCAACATAACTTTAGAAAAGTTAAATAAATACAACATTTATATGGGAAACATCAGTATGAGAAACATCATTAACAAGAGGCAACACATATAAAGAAAAACTTTTATTTATCACGCAATATTACGTATTAAAAACATTTAAAGAAGTTGTTGATAGAGATGTTACGTACGGAGTCTATGGTTATGGTCGGGCGTTAGCGGTGACACGCAACAGACGCATAGTGACACATTCGAATAAACGTATACTCTACTCCGAGACACTGACACAAAAAGGACGTTTCGCGGGTCGAGCGAGACAGTTCGGCTCTGCAGACAGGCCAACAAGATTTCTCGATCTTACTCTGTCTAACATATTCTCACTCGGCGGTCTTTTTTTAGATGTGACAAGGGGAGATTACGACGATGAAACAATCGATTTGAACGAAATTTATAGGATCAATAAATGATTATGTGGAGTATTGCAGGGTAAAGTAATAAGACGCACTACTCAAGCATTCGCGAGAAAATCGAATTTGAAAATTTTGAGATACCTTATGAGAATATTAAATACACAGTTTGTCCGGAAAGTTCCCGGACT